ACTTACTAAGGGCCAGGCACTGTATCCGTGGCACTGGATGTAAATCACCTGGGCTCATCCTCAAGCTGAGAAGGTGGGAACTATTACTATCCCGTTTACACAGTTTAGACTTGTCCCAGTCCAGGACCAGAATCCCAAGCCCACACTCCTGAATACTGCCTTCCCGATTAATGGGGGGTGAACTATAAAATTCTTGATTTTAGTGTTGATGGGACTCAGAGACTAGTCTGATCTCTCTCTCTCTCTCTCTCTCTCTCAAATATATTTTATTTATTTGTTTGTTTATTTATTTATTTAGAAAGAGGAAGGGAGAGAGAGATAGAAACTTCGATGAAAGAGAAACATCATTGATCGGGGCTGCCTCCTGCACTCCCCCCACTCGAGATTGAGCCTGCAACCTGGGCATATGCCCTGACCAGGAATCAAACCGGTGGTTCCTAGGTTGACACTCAACTGCGGAGTCACACCAGCTGAGCTGATGATCTCTTGATAGTCTAGTCCTGTGGTTGGTAAACTGCGGCTCGCGAGCCACATGCGGCTCTTTAGCCCCTTGAGTGTGGCTCTTCCTAAGCCTTAGGAGTACCCTAATTAAGTTAATAACAATGTACTTACCTATATAGTTTAAGTTAAAAAAATTTGGCTCTCAAAAGAAATTTCAATTGTACTGTTGATATTTGGCTCTGTTGACTAATGAGTTTGCCGACCACTGGTCTAGCCTGGTCTCAGACAGCATAGTTTTCTCCTGCAGCATCAGTAAGGATGGGATACCTCTCCGTAGGGAACAGGGCCGCCCCATACCTCCGTGGAGCAGTTACCTTTGTGAGAAACTATTCCTGCTGCCTTGGAATTTCTATCTGGCCCTTGAAATCAAGTCTGCACAGACAGCTCTCACACTTGAAGACTGCTGTTGCATCTCCTCTCACCATTGGTCCTCCAGTCATGTCTCATTTCTCATTGGGCCTCTGTGGGCTTAACCATACGCCTCCAAACACTGTGTGGTTTGTCAAAGTCTCAATTCATGAGGACCTATGGCTAGCTCCAAGCTACATACGGATGCCTCACGTGAACCTTGTGATTAGTTAAAACCCTTAGACTTTTCTTTCTAGACAAAGTTCTATGACATCAGGGACATGGTGTTTTCAGGGCTATGTACCCAGCACCTGAAACAGTGACTGGAATATAGGTGGCATTCCATAAATGAATCTTGCAGTTATACTATTGATTTCAGTAACCCAAATTTGGGATTTTTGTATTTATTCTTGTTAAAATTAATTTTGTTGGTTTCAGATTAATGTTGAAACTTGCTGACCTTGATTCATTTTGATAGTGCCATGAAGACAATATTCTAGGTCAGTGGTCGGCAAACTTGTGGCTCGGGAAGACCCACACTCAAGGGGCCAAAGAGCCGCATGTGGCTCGCAAGCTGCGGTTTGCCGACCACGGTTCTAGGTCTTTATCTCCCTCTGTTGACAGACCAAGGATAAAAGACATTTGTTTGCTCTTTCGTTCATCCCATACACATTTGGTACAAAGATGAGTAAGTCAATAATACAGGGGAGACAGACATAAAGGGACAGCATGAGGGAGAGATGCGGGAGGAGTAGGGGAATGAGGAGTGTGTGCACAGACCCCTGCAGGCCCTCGCAGCCTGAAGAAATGAAGGAAGGCCATCTGGATTCCTTCCCTCAGGTGGGAGCACCTGTGGAGAGCCCACCTGGGGCTTCCTGATGGCTCAGCCTCCTTCTCCCCAGCTCTCCCTTTACACCTGCTACACCTGTGGTTATATTTTCAACAACAGTGCTTAGGCCAGTGGTTCTCAACATTGGCTGCGCATTAGAATCACCTGGGAATCTTTTTAAAATCCTGATTTCTGGGCCATGGCGATTCTAATGTGCAGCCAAGGTTGAGAATCACTGGCTTAGGCGGTAGGTTGTTCATTCGGTCATGCGCCTCTTTTGTTGTTAATCCTCATCTGAGGATATTTTTTCCATTGATTTTTAAATTTTTTTTAGAGAGGATTTCTGTTGTCATTACCTCACACTTGGTTCTGAGCTTGGATCTATTTCCTTATCATTTAAATTCAAATAGCATTTACTGAGCATCTGCTATATGTGGGAATTTTTATTTTGAATATTGGTTTACATAACTCTCTAAAAACTTAAAAACCCATTATTATCACCATTTACTAAGTGAGGATACAGGCTCAGTGAGATTAAGAGATTGAGCAAGGCCACCCAGCTAAGAAGGGAAGAGCTTGGATCAGAATCCGGGCCTCTTGTTTCTAAATCCAGGCCAGGGTCCATTTTACTGTCACTGCTAAGCACGAATTTACTTCCCTCCTCCACCCCATCTGCCTTTGACTTTCTTGAAAATATGAACCACGTGGAGTGGGGGCCTCCTGCCGGCATTGACAAGGCAGAGGACTCGAGTCCCGAGGGGCCACCTGCAGCTGCTCCCTGTGCTGAAGCCTGAGCAGGGCTGGAGGGGATGCTCAGAACATCACCTGCATCCCAGTCACCTGCTGGGCTTTTTACAGGTGAACCGTCTTTGCGCAAAGTAACACTTTTTCTGGTTTCAAATGTAATGCATGTTCCTTATAGAAAATGTAGAAAGTATAGAGAAGCCCACAGGAGGAAACCGCGCTTCTGTCAGCATTCAGAAGCCAAGGGTCCGTTGTCCTGAATGATCTGGTGCTGAAACCCCTTAAATCTCACCTCGAGCCCTGGATGGGGAGCAGATTTGAGCCTTCACTCCTGTCTCCTTGCTGGTTGAACTCGCAGTAAAAGTCCCCCTCCACCCCCCACCCCCCAAGCCAGTGCCATAGTATTGGCTTCTGTGTGTGTCGTCGGGCAGAGAGACCTTGCTTAGTAACAGGTTCTCACACGCATCATGACCCCCAGTCCCTGGACCTTTTCCGCTCTTTTCATCACCATTTTCCTTGTATTTTGCTTGGAGACAGTATGTTCAGTGGTGAAGGAATTAGATGTTAACGACAGACATTCACCAGTTGTTTCCCAGTTTTTCTGGGTTTCCGTTCCTACAAGGTGGGATGGGAGTCACTGGAGAACGAATGTGTTCCTGTGTAGGAGGGGGCAGGGTTTCAGTGCTGCCCACCCAGGCACGGAGGATCCCCTCCCCACCTCAGTCTTGCACTGGGCTGGTCTTTCCAGGCACACACCTGGGCCACCCCTCCCCTCCGCTCCTTCCATCCCTGCTCCTCAGCTGCCTGCATTGCTGGAGAGAGCCAGGGCCGTGGGGATCTAGGACCTCAGAGTTCTGACCACCTCTTGGAAATTGTTAATTCCTTGTTCATATGCTGTGACAGTCCCCGTGTAACAGCTCCGACACTATCCGATTCTACCCACTCTGAATACTGAAAAATCAAAACTTTTGCTGCGAATTCACCCATCTTTTCCTCCAGTTACCTTATAATTGTATTTCCTTCTGTCGCCTATTTCTTTCTCCATCGCCTCTTCAAACCTGCCTGTTTGGATTCTAAGTGCGCTGTCCAGGTGGGTCCTTGTAACCACAGGTGAGGGCATCACGGGCAGTTCCATGGGGCAACGGCTACTCTGAATCTCCACCGGCCCTGCCTCAGCCCAACCACATTTTCTTGTACTTGGACCCCTGCAATGGCTGGGCCCCTTCTTGCCCTTGACAAGTCATTCATCACATCATAGGGAGAACAGTCTTTTAAAAACATATATGAGGTCTTGTCATTCTCTTGTTTAATTCCCCTGGTAGCTTTCCATTCTGTTATACATAGAATAAAATTCCAACCCTCGGCCTGCATGACCCAGTCTCTCTCTCTCCCTCCCTCCTCCCTCCCGCCCTCTCCCTCCCTCCTCCCTTCCCCACTCTCTTCCTTCCTCTCTGTGTTCCAGCCACACTGGCTTCCTCTCTGTTCTTTGAACCTCCCACTCAACTCCACCACATTCCCGTCACCAGGATTTTGCATTTGCCTGAATGTGCTCCCTCCCTCCCCCCACTCATTACATGGGTGCGTCCACCTCACCCTTCAAGGCTCAGTTCAGATGTCACCTCCTGAGAGAGACCCGCCTTCCCCAGTCGCTGTCTGGTTATGTCTTTCCTAATACCACAGCCTGCCATTGTCTTGTTCATTTACTGTTCATCTCTTCACTCGGCACAGAGTCCGCACTCGGCGAGTATTTGTTGAATGAGGGATCGGGTAGAAATAGGGTTTGGTGGTACAAACAGAAACCAGGCCAGTGTGGCTTAGCAAGTAGAGGGTTTATCTTTGCGCTTAACAGAAAGTCGGGAGGTGGCAGCTGCACTGCTCAGGGAGGCTGCAAGGAGCTGGCTCTCAGAGTTTATTGCTTTCCATCCTCGGGGTGTGGATCCCATCCTCGGGGTGTGGATTCCATCCTCTAGCCGCAAGATGCTGCAGCATCTTATCTTAGATAGGAAGAAGAGGAGATGCAGAGAAGAGCAATTTTTTAAAACTCTGTAAAGCAATAGCTTTCCCCAAACCCAGTCAGCTTGCTCGAGTCTCCTTGGCCAGGACCGTGTTACGTGGCTAGCTGGCTGCAAGAGTGAAGGAAATCACGACAATCGCTAGACCCATACCACCCTTAACGTATTGGGTCCTTTTGGCCAGGAAAGAAAAAGAGGAGAAGAGATTTCGGGTAGACTGTGAGCAGGATATGTCAGAGAGGAGAGAAGATTAGCGGGAGCAAGGGAGAAGGAGGAATGGAAGTAGGTTAGTGAGGAGGGGAGATGTTCTGCCAAAAACCATAGGAATGTAATTACTGGTATTAAGATTTTGCAATAATAATCCTATATAATAAAAGGCTAATATGCAAATTGTCCCCTCAACCGGGAGTTTGACCAGGGGGCAGGGCTGGCTGGCCAACCTCCCCCATCCCCTCCCCCGAGCTGGCCCAGCCTGATCAGCCTCAATTGGGGCAGGCCGGCTGGACCCCCACCATGCACGAATTTGTGCACTGGGCCTCTAGTAATAATAGTAACTGTCTTTGTAACATTCCCATGTGTCAAGTGAGTTCATAAAGGTGGCTGTTTGTTGAAAGAAACATGTATGAATATTGAACTAGTTTTAGAAATAATGTGACAATACCCTAAACTTCAATCTTTTACTAGAATGATCTGATGACATCAGACTGATGTGTACAAGAGATACATGGTGGACGTTCCTCTGCTTTCTGCTTCATTCTCCTGCAGAGTTAATGCTGCAGGGAACTGACATGCCAGCTGATATTCCGTGGCACCAATTTCCAACGAGTAGGCACATTTATGGAGGGCCACCGTGCAGGGCCGCGCTGGTGCTCCGGCCCGGGCTTCTGTCGGAGAAGCAGCAGACAGCCAATTGGCTAATTTAAGGAGTCAACAATATTTCCTGTGGACGCTCAAAGCTATCGCCCTGCTCTTGTCTCTAGGGCTTATGGACTTTCAGGCATGAGAAAGCCGAAAGGATCTGTAGAAGATAACGGGGCGTTTGGGAAACCAGTCGTCATAACAACAGGGCAGGCAGCGGTTACAATGGAAGCGGGATCGCCTGTGCACTGTAAGAGGGACGATTCCGGATTAAGCGCCTCCATACACGATGAAATTGAGGCGTCATTAAATTATTACGTCCAATAATCACCACTTTACAAGGCCGGCCTTCCTAGCATACACTCCTGTTTGCTTGCCGGGGTGACAAGCGATGTGTGTGCAAACACAGATGAACACAGCCGTGCCTCGTGAGCATGGTTCCGTTCATTGCATGGCCAGCATGTGCCAGGCACTCCACAGTCCGTACCTGATTCTGTTATCCCCATTTTACAGACGGGGACGTCAGAAAGGCGAGGTGCTTGCCCAAGTGCCTGTACGTTGTAAGTGAGTGAGGGGGTTGGGAAGGCAGGTCTAGATTATTCTGAGCCCCGTGGCTTTTCCTCTGCCAGCCCCTTTGCTGATCACTAGCTCGTGACCTCTTTGCCTTTCACCGGGTCATTTGCAATGGCTTTCTGACCGGCCCCCCAGCTCCAGGCATTGCCACTGCTGTCCCTATCACACCACTGCCAGGCGAAGATTCCTGAAGCAGAGCTGGGATCGCTATTGTGTGCTTCTCCTGCTCAGAGCCGTCCATGATGATTTCCCTTTGCCCACTGAATGCAATTGTGCTCAGAGCCTTCCATGATGATTTCCCTTTGCCCACTGAATGCAATTGTCTTAGCCTGGCATTTAGGCTTCCTCTCCAGCCTCCTCTTCCACTAGCTGCCTGCAGTCCACTCCGCTCAGCCGGACTCAGGGGCTGCCTTGTCCCACCGCCCCCACACCTCTGAGAGCCCTTCAGCTCCTGCACACCCGCCTCAGTCACCTGTTCCCTTCTAGCACTCACCTCCCAGGACTCTTACTCTGTTTTCAGTGTTCTTGTTTATGGCCATGTCTTCTCTCTGCTGTCACACTGTGTCCACTCTCAAAGCCAGTGTCAGGAAAGGCCTGAGAAGGACTTTTAAGGGGGGGAATTCTCGGGAACACTGTGTTTTTGTCCAGTCTCTTCCCGCATCTCCCATTTCCCTTTCCCCCCCAAGAATAGTCAGTCCATTCCCTTTCTATGTCCCTGATTCATTATAATCACCAGTTCATTCTGTACATCAGATTATTTATTCACTTGGTTCTTAGATTCACTTGTTGATAGATGCATGTTTGTTGTTCACAATTTGTATCTTTACCTTTTTCTTCTTCCTCTTCTTAAAGGATACCTTTCAGCATTTCGTATAATACTGGTTTAGTGGTGATGAACTCCTTTAGCTTTTCCTTATCTGTGAAGCTCTTTATCTGACCTTCAATTCTGAATGATAGCTTTGCTGGATAAAGTAATCTTGGTTGTAGGTTCTTGGTATTCATCACTTTGAATATTTCTTGCCATTCCCTTCTGGCCTGCCAAGTTTCTGTTGAGAAATCAGCTGACAGTCGTATGGGTATTCCCTTGTAGGTAATTGAGTCTCTTTCTCTTGCTGCTTTTAAGATTCTCTCTTTGTCTTTTGCTCTTGGCATTTTAATTATGATGTGTCTTGGTGTGGTCCTCTTTGGATTCCTTTTGTTTGGGGTTCTCTGCGCTTCTTGGACCTGTAAGTCCATTTCTTTCACCAGGTGGGGGAAGTTTTCTGCCATTATTTCTTCAAATAGGTTTTCAATATCTTGCTGTCTCTCATCTTCTGGCACCCCAATTATTCTGATGTTTGTACGCTTGAAGCTGTCCCAGAGGCTCCTTACACTATCTTCGTATTTTCGGATTCTTTTTTCATTTTGCTTTTCCGGTTGGGTGTTTTTTGCTTCTTCGCATTTCAAATCTTTGGCTTGATTCTTGCGCTCCTCTGGTCTGCTATTGGGTGTCTGTATAATATTCTTTATTTCAGTCCGTGTATGCTTAATTTCTAGTTGGTTCTTTATCATAGCATCGAGGGTCTCATTAGTTTTCGTGACTCTCTCCTCAAGTTTATTGACAGCTTCTAGCACATTTTTGCAAGCCCTCAAAATTGCGATTTTTAGCTCTATATCCTCCATTTCTGTCATGTTTTTTTGTCTCCGCATTTTTTATGCTTTCTTGGTGCACCCTCTAGTGGTCTTTGTGCGCAGTCTTGTTCTAGTTGAGCCTTGATTGTTGTAGTTAATACTAGAGGGATTTGACCACCAGGCCGACTGGCTGTGTGAATCAGCTGTGTCTGCCGCGGAAAACTTCTGTCCTCTGGGGAGGTGCTAATCTAGCCTTTGCCTGAGGCGATCCGGCAAATGGCTCTGCGCAGGGCTTGGGCGGGGCGGGCTCAACAGGGCGGGCGGAGGGAGCCGTTATGGTGCCCTCAGTCCTGTTCCCAGAGGCTCTGCTTCTCAGAACCCCCGGAACCGCTGCAAACCTCGGAGGGAAAGCTGCCTTCCAACTGATGCCAGACACTCCCGCTTCTCCCGTTTGGGTCCGAGTCCCCAGCGATTCGCCCGTATCTGGAGCTCAGAGTCTGAGACTCCCCCCTGACCGAAAACGACAACCGCGCTCTCAGCCACCAGCCCGCTTTGCGCGCGCACCTCCGCACCTGAGTTTTTTCCACACTGCGCCTCCTCTGAGCCTCGGTGTGCTGTTATTTTTCCTTCTAGTTGAAGAGTCTCTCCTCAGCCAGCCTTCCTGTGGTTCTGGGTGATGTCCGTTCCGTCTTTTAGTTGTATTTTTGAAGTGGTTGGTTGCGGCAGCAGTCTGCGGTGTTTACCTATGCCGCCATCTTGGTCTCTCGAGACCTGAGAAGGACTTTTACTGGGGAGAGTTCTCGGGAACAGTGTGAGGGCGAGGGAGGCGGGCCGGGGCAGGGGGAGTTGAACTGCTGTTGGCAGAGGCATCTCAGCTGATCCCCTGGGGAGCTCGGAGCTGGATGGCGCTTCAGCTGTGGTAGTGAGAGGTGTTTCCCAGGCGTCTCAGCTGATCCCCTGGGGAGCTCGGAGCTGGGATGGCGCTTCAGCTGTGGTAGTGAGAGGTGTTTCCCCCTAGGGGTGAGATTCAGGCTGCCTCTAGCGAGAGGAAGTGACTTTGGGTGGGGCCGCTTCTCCTACAGAGGGCAGTTCCCAGAGAGCAGAGGGCAGTTCACTCCCTCACGCATGAGCCTTCAGTGCTCACCTCCCCTGGCAGCTGGAGGATCTGGTGTCAGGACTGCAGGGAGGTCACCCCAGGGGCCTCGGCACCTTATTCATCTGTCAGAGGCACTTGGGGAACATACAGTAAAGGCCCCACCCTGGCGGCTTCTGATGGTAGCATGGGGTGGGGCCAGAAGACCTGCATGTGGGTGCAGATTGGAATTCCATCGGTCCAGGAGGGGACCCAAGACCCTGCTTTTCTAACAGCTCCTAAGTCATGGCCCATGGACCCCTCCCAGGTCAGAAGCTGGCAAACCTGTTCTGTAAAAGGCCAGATGGTTTGAGGCTCTGCAGGCCACATGCTCAAGGGTGCTACGACTCAACTTTGCTGTTTTTAGCACCAAAGCAGCCACAGACCATATATCAGCGAATGAGCATGGCTGTGTGCCAGTGCTTGCTCCTGTCCCAGGTGCTCCTGAGGGACAGCCAGGTTTAGGAGCCGCTGTCTTTAACCGGGAAGGAAGTGTGGGAGAGAGGAGAGAAGGGGACGTGCAGGGACTAGTCCCAGCCCTCAAACGCACCTGTAAGTAGCTCAGCTCATAGAGCCCTCAAACAGTGTTTGTGGAATGAACAAATAAATGGGATTAAGTACATTTCTCATTTTGAAGGCAGTTTTTAAGGGTATTCAAGTCTGACTGGTAACATTGGGTTATGAAGGCATTCGATATTTTATTATGCAAATCATGCTCTTGGCTGGAGTGGGATTTGGGAAGAAGACAGTATCCTGGCATCACTAGGAGCTCTCTCCGCCTCAGCCTTGGGCTCCCAGGAATGTTGGGATCCTCCTGTCCCTTCATCACAGGTCCCTGTTGATTCAGAGGTTCCAGGGCAGCTGCTGTGGCCTGGGGTGCTTTCCCAGCTGGCCCTCCACACTTGCAAGAATGGGGAGCTGCTGCCAGGAGGCCTGAGGGATCATCAGTCTCCCTGTACCTCGCTGAGCTCCGCTCACCTTTCCTTAACCCTCGCTCACCAACCCTCACTCAGCTCACCAACCCTCGCTCACCGCCAGGGGCTGTAAGGCCCAAGCTGGAGTCCTCAAAAGTCACCACGTTTGGTTGGTTTGGGTCTGGCAGCTGATGAATAGGTTGCTGTTACGATGTTTACTCTCCTGAATCAGGTATTCCTTTGTAGAGACAGAGCCTTCTAGTCATTAGTAGGCTTCAGAAAACATCCAGGGAACTGAGAGAAAAGGCATCATTTAAAGAGCGCTGCCAAAATGTTAACAAAGGGACCCAGGGAGAGTGCCATGCCCGTAAGCCTTGTTTTTTCTTCCTTGTGCACATGAATTCAAAGTGCAAACACTGCTTGCAGCATTCTTAGAACCCCCAAATCCCATGGCCATAAGCAAAAAAATCAGTGGGGAATAGAACAAAAACTTCTAGGAGAAGCTGATTTAAACACCCCCCACCACCACACCCACCCACATCCCCGCACCCCCACACATATGGACATACACCAGAAACTATATCTTCACGAGGATTGTCTCTTCCCAGCAGACACCATGGAGTTGCAATTGCTCAGAACAATTCTGGAACCCCTTAATTGTAGCCGTAGGTATGTTTTAAACATAACATTTCAAACATCTATATATTTAAAAGTTTTAAAACTACACAGACACATTTTCAAACACACACACACACACACACACACACACACACACACACATATAAATTGAGAGACTAGTATAATGAACCATCATCCAGCATCAACAATTATTAGCACATGCAAATCCTGTTTCATCTCTATCTCCATTCCCCTTCACCAATTGGATTATTTTGAAACAAATTCCAAAAATCCTGTACCTTCATCTCTAAATACTTTAGTATGGATCTAAAAGATAAGGACTCTTAAAAAACATGTAAGATTGAACCATATGAAATTGTCATTTGGTTGTCATCAGTAACCATTATCTACATGAATTATTTCATTAGGAATTGCAAATCGCAATGTTCTAACATTTCTTTAACTTTTATTAGCTGGAATTCTTTTATAGCTTCTCCTTATGCTCACTTGGTTTCCCTGAAAAGGTGGCATAAATGCCTACTTTCCCCTTTCACAATCAGTTCTCGTCTTGCTCATCTGATTGTACAAGTTCAACTCCTTTCAGAGTTCCCAGGTCTTGCTGTCATCCGCCCATTACTGCTCTCTTCTCAATGATGAATATTAAGCTTCTGCCTTCTTTTCGTCTGGCTCCCATCCATGTTGTCCCGCTCTCTGCAAGAAAAACAACGGAAGGGTAGCCCTGCAGCATTTCGGGAGCAGAGACGGGCAGAAACAAGTGTTGCTGTGGTTACAGAAATAAGTGAAGTCTTAGAATCAAGCACGACATGGAGTGGTCAGAGTTTAAATCCTGGGTCCCTAAAGGACCTTGTGCCGAGATGACAAAGTTGAATTTGAATCTAAGTACCAGTAACAGTGGTGGCAGAAGTGAGTAAAGGGGCCTGCAGGATGCAAAACTAGTTATGGTCCCAGCCCCACAGTCCCACAACTTCCCTAGGAACCAAAGGCCCTTGAAAAATTACTGTAAAAAAACCTATCCCATGCCCTAGCCAGTTTGGCTCAGTGGATGGAGCATTGGTCTGAGGACTGAAGGGTCCCCGGTTTGATTCCAGTCAAGGGCACGTACCTTGGTTGCAGGTTGGATCCCCAGCCCTGGCCGGAGTGCATGTGGGAGGCCACCAGTCAGTGTGTCTCTCTCACATCAATGTTTCTCTCACTGTGTCTCTACCCCTCCCTCCCACTCTCTCTAAAAACCAATGGAAAAATATCCTTGGGTGAGGATTAACAACAGCAGAAACACAACAACAACAAAAACTAGGAAGGAAGGAAGGAAGGAAGGAAGGAAGGAAGGAAGGAAGGAGGGGAGGGAGGGAGGGGTTATGAAAAAAGATCCCATTCTCACAATGGGCAAGGGCTGTCCTTGCAGAGAACAAGGTGCCTTGAGCCACAAACAATCCCGAAAATGAAAGTTACACAACCAGGACCCAGCACCACTTTTGGAGGATTCAAGCCCCCAAACTCATTAGACACTGAAAGGGGACTGGGTCTTGCATCCTCTCCTCCAACCTCCTCCATCAGATGGACTTCTCGCAGGAAAGGACAAATACACAAATTCCAATTTGGTTGCCAGGGAAACCCCTACAGCATATCAAAAAAAGAAAAAGTGCCAGTGTGTTCTGGGAATAAAGGAGAAAGTCGTTTGTGTGTGTGGTGAGAACCAACTGCGTCAGGACTGCAGCTTCCCATGGCAGGCTTTGCCAGGGGCCTGACAGCAAAGCAAACTCGGTGTCAAGACCTGGGAAGGGCTTCCTCCCGACCCTCACAGCACAGGTGCTGCTCTTCCATGACCTTGGGCCTCTGCTACAGGGATGCCAACCCCTAGGAACTGCAAAGATGCCGAAGAGGCCAGGGGACACCCTGGATGAGTGTGTTTGGAAATATACAGTGTGACGATTCAGAGAGGTTCGGGCCTGGAAAAGACCTGCGATAAAGCAAAACCCACTTCTTCCCGCCAGGAAGGCACCGGTAAGTAGCTCAGCACCTGTGGTTAGATAAGCTCGGGCAATGCTTCATGCTGTGAGCTCCTCTTAGAGAATCACAATGTGCTTTAGCGTATTCAAGGCTAAACCTCGAGGTTTACCTGAACAGTAGCACCAAAGCCAGGTCAACAGTCCTAATCCCCAGAACCGGTGAATATGGAAAAAGGGCGACTACTATTTCATGTGACAAAAGACGTGATGAAAGTTAAGGGTCCTGAGAGCAGTCGTTTATCCTGGATTATCAGGATCGGCTGCGAACACAATCACACATAACCTTAAAAGAGAGGCAGAGTGAGTTCCAACACTTCCTCGCTCACAGAGGAAGGCCGGCGTGTGAAGAAGAGGTGGAGAAGGAGGGATGCGGCCATAAGCCAAGGAATGCAGAGGAATGCCGGCTGCCAGCAGACGCCGGGTGAGGCCAGGAAGACCAGAGGGAGGCGGCCCTGCCCTGCCAACACCTTGAATTTGTGCTTCTGGCTTCCAGAACTGTGAGAGAATAGAGTGCTCTAGTTTTAAGCCACCAAGGTTGTGGTCATTTGTACAGTAGCCTCAGGAAATGAATATCCCTTAACACAGAACTGCCCAAACTTACACATTTACCATAACTCTTTTTTTCAAAGGACATCAGTTATCATTCTGTAAACTTCAGGCTCTGAGGAATCCACTCTGGGAGACAGCTGTTGAGATGATTTTATGAATGACTGACCACAGTGGCGCCACTGAGGACACTTACAAGTCTGGGTCCAACCCTAGGCCACCAGAGTCCACAGAATGGCCATGCCATGTGCCTTCCTTTGGTCCTTCCATCAGAAAGGGCATCCCGACATTTCCAGCTGCCTCTTACCCATTATGTATTTGAACTATTTTATATCCACTAGAGGCCCGGTGCATGAAATTCATGCATGGGGAAGGGGGGGGGTCCCCTCAGCCCAGCCTGCACCCTCTCCAATCCAGGACCCCTCATGGAATGTCCAACTTCTGCTTCAGTCATTTGGTCGTCCCTCACTAACCCTCCTGCCGGCCTGGTTGTAGGCAGCCATCTTGTGAGGGCGTGAGGGTTAATTTGCATATTACCTCTTTATTATATAGGATGAGATGTAATAGTTAAAGTTTGCTGACATTTCCGTCTACCACACAAGCCACACACGTTTTCACAGAGGTGCCTTCTTAGCTTCTTAGGTGCTCTTGTGATCTCTCCCAGGGTCACTTTGCAGGGGGAATCCTCTTGCTAATGCTGGACTGCACCAAGAATGTCAGGAGGCCTAGGGACAGAACTAGTCAGAAGGTCTAGCTCAGTGGTTCTCTGTAATCGTCAAAGCTTGCTAACATTTCCATCTACCACACAAGCCGCACACGTTTTCACAGAGGTGCCTTCTTAAGTGCTCTTGTGATCTCTCCCAGGGTCACTTTGCAGGGGGAATCCTCTTGCTAATGCTGGACTGCACCAAGAATGTCAGGAGGCCTAGGGACAGAACTAGTCAGAAGGTCTAGCTCAGTGGTTCTCAACCTTCTGGCCCTTTAAATACAGTTCCTCATGTGGTGACCCAACCATAAAATTATTTTCGTTGCTACTTCATAACTGTAATGTTGCTACTGTTATGAATCGTCATGTAAATATCTGATACGCAGGATGGTCTTAGGCGACCCCTGTGAAAGGGCCATTCGACCGCCAAAGGGGTCGCGACCCACAGGTTGGGAACCACTGGTCTAGCTGGTCTCTTAGTCCCTAGTAGATTCAATGCTCACACCTTTCTCGGATATTACCTGCATTGCTTCCAACTCTGCCTGGAGGTGGCCACTTCAAGGGACTGTGTGGTCCTATGCGCCAACATGGTGCTGCTTTCTCGGGGGAGGAGGATCGACACTCACAGCTGGACCTTTGCGGAGGATTTCTGGGTCACCTGCTCAGCAACTCCCCCCTTTAAATACTAGTCTGTGGGCAACAAGGGCAGGGGTTTCAACTATTTAGCCTTCCCTCAAATCCATTCCAACCTCCATGGATCTCACCAAAGACAATGTTCCGGGGAAATCCTTAAGGGACAAAGCACTCTAAATAGGCTAGAAAGCATACCCTCAACAGGGAAGAACTGTCAGGGTCTCTAAGCCAAGAATTTTAAAGTAGGACATGTCCCCATTCCATCTTCATTGCATGGAATTGTACAGGCTGATCCTTACCCAGGTTGACCCTGGGACAGAGCCTGCTGTCAGAACGTGGCCGACTGCCTTACCCACCCCACTTACTCAACTCTCTGCCCTCCCCAAACAGTTGAAAGTCCAGACTCCTCTCTCTCTGCTCTGACTCAGCTCTCTTTTTCTCAAGGCTACACAGCAGACCTCACCTCTGTCTTTATCCTTCCTGTCTCCACAACTTCCCTTTGTTAACATGACTCTTGAACAGTGTGAACTCTAACAAAAAGCAAGGTTGTGCTTGAAGAAAAGCAAAACATTCAATATTGAAAATGTGTGCAAATCGAATCGCTCTGAAGTGCTGTTTTCTCATTTACATTTCAGGATTGTTTTGTCATCATTTCTGAAGGCTGTCCTCTTGGCAATGGCTCCTGACCCGATTCCTGTCTTTCCTAGTTATGCCGGGGGAAGGGATTCATTGATTAGTCCCTTCATTTATAAGGGTCTTTGAAATCAGCACCCCCAGGCAGATCGAGTTCAGCAGCTTGGAAGTGGTGTCTTGAATCCTTTTGATTTAATCACTCGTATTTACAGTAAAGGAGTTGAACAGTGAATCGAGATTAGCTCATGTGAATGCCAGGAAACTGCCTTGGGTGTCCCTGGCCTGGCTTGGCCCAGCTGTCGGCAAACCCCAAGAGGGCCCTGGACAAGGCCTTGGGGAGGCCTGCCTGTGCTACCGCTGAGCCACAGTGGCGAGCGTCACTTATTCATCGAACTAAACTTATTCCGTACCAGGTCCCTGCTGTATAGAAATCACCCTCTCAATTACTATTCTTGTTTTGTAGGTGAGAATATTAAGGCTTACAGGTATAAAGGAACTTTCCCAAGATCACACAGCTGGAAGAGCCAGACTCAAGCCAAGCCTGCCTTACTCCAAACCCTTTCCTGAGGACCTAGAGTCCCAGACTTGTAGAATTCATGGGCCAACAAAATTTTTTAAAAAATTGTGTAAAATTAAAAAGGAAAAAAATGTGTGAATGTGTGCACATGCTAATATAGAGTTGCTAATTTTTTATTTTGCCATCAGGGCATGACAAAGGCTTATCATTTATTATTACCATTTCATTGGAAAGGATATTTACACAAACATGAAAAAAACACTTCTAAATTAATTTGCCAAGCATTTATGGAGCACCTATTATGTGCCAGGCATTCATTGTTCTAGGCCAGTGATGGCGAACCTTTTGAGCTCGGCGTGTTAGCATTTTGAAAAACCCTAACTTAATTCTGGTGTCGTGTCACATACAGAAGTTTTTTGATATTTGCTACCATAGTAAAACAAAGACTTATATTTTTGATATTTATTTTATATATTTAAATGCCATCTAACAAAGAAAAATCAACCAAAAAAATGAGTTCGCGTGTCACCTCTGACACGCGTGTCATAGGTTCGCCATCACTGTTCTAGGCACTGCAGAAAATAATAGTGACAAAATAAACAAAGAATCCGTGCCCTCCGAAATAAGGCATGATAGGTTAATTAAAAAGAAGGGAAGTACACAGTATATTAGAAATGAGTGCTATACGGGGAAAAACAGGGCAGGGAAGAAGGGGATACAAGTGGGGGAGGAAGCCCTTGCTGAAAAAGTGAGAAAGCGTATACCAGTCTTGCCAAGAAGGGACACGGACGATCTTAGCACCCATCCATATGAACATTCCCACAATAGTAACTCATTTTTCTCACTGTACCAGCACGTGGGCACTCATCCCTGTGGCCCAGCTCCCAGCTCCAGGGGAGGTGAGATGGGAGGGACTGGTGAGGATGGTTCAAGCTCTGCCTCTGGTTCCTTTCCTCCCGGCCTTTTCCAACGGTGAGCTTTCACTTCCTAGGCTATTGACTGGCGGAGGTTTTATCTTGCCTCAGACATGATCCAGGAAGTTTCTCCTTGTCCCTCAGTTGAAATCACTATTTCTAAGGAAGCACTGTGAATCCAAAACGTTGCTTTTTGAGGGAAGGGGCTCTGGGGCCTCATCTACTGTGCTGCCTTCCCTTTGCTAAATGAGTTGGAGCTGGTGTTTCTTTCCCCCAGGTGTTTCCAGCTCTGTGTGGGAAGAAAATGTAGACAGAATGTTCTTTCACTCATCTTACACAGGTTTTCCTTTGGGTTTTTGTTGTTGAAGTTGTTGTTCCGAGGGATAGTTCTCAAACTCTAGAAATAAGATGGTGGGGCTATTTGGATCTCAGGATTTGTTTTCCTGATAGCCACCTATTTCGTGCAAAATCCCCCACGTCTCAGCAGTCGGGGTTCCTCTGGAACCCCAGTTTCTGGTTTTTATTGGTACAGCTGCCCAGTATTCTCATGAAGTGAGTCGGGCAAAGCGATACTTGAAATCACAGCGTCCAGAGTTACAATTCTAGATGGGAACTTTGGGAAAGATACTTGAACTTCCTTAAATGTTCTGGTTTTCGTATCTGTTTATTGAAATAATAAGAGTACTTACCTCATGGGGTTGTTGTGGGTATTAAATGAGAGAACACACATACCATACTATTCTAAGTGTTTTTTGTGTATTCACTACAGGCGATTCTCGACTTATGATGGTCTGACTAAATGATTTTTTTTTACTTTATAATGGTACCAAAGTGACACACATAATAAATGTCATTAGAGATTTAACACTTTATTACAAAACAGGCTTTATATTAGATGATTTTGCCCAAATAACATCAGTGTTCTGAGCACATTTAAAGTAGGCTAGGCTAAGTTATGATGTTTAGTAGGTTAGGTGTATTAAACACATTTTCAACATAGTATATTTTCAACTTACAGTGAATTTACAAGGACATAACCCCATCGT